ACAAATTTGTGGCTCTAATCAAAGCCATCAAACACCAGCATCTATACTACGATTCTAATTGCATATTTGCATGCAAGTTATTTATAAATAGAAGACGAGTGGGAAATTACCATAGTGTAAAGAAGGCGGTATTAAAGTTTGGTTGTGAGATAACAAAGAGGCCTCGTTTGCACCAGCTGAGATGCTGCACAGCCTGCATTTCCGAAGCTTGCTTCATTTCACACTCTCGTCTCGTGTCCTTTTCAAATGGTCAAGCTTTCATTGAAAGCGGTGAAGAAAATAAAGATTATGATACCAAAAAGTGGCGGTGGAGACAGAAGTTGCAGTCCTTGTAATCTTTTGGTTATAAACGCCAAAACTTGCTTCATATTTTTCCTTTTGTCAGTTGGTGCTTTAGAACCGTACGCTCTCTGTGTACGCCTATTTAAAACAGAGACAGAGAGAGCTAGCTTTCCTGTCACACGGTATAAAAAGCATGCACGCTCCTTCTGGCATCAAATCCTCTGAGATTGCAACCCAAATCAGGTATATATGCAGAATTATAAGGCCAAGACTCTCTTTTGAGAGAGACACCACCCTTCATCAAATTGGAGGGGGATTCTCTTTTTCCTAATCTCTCTTTTTTTATTTGAACAATTACGGTTTAGTCGCATTAACATCTTATATTGAATTTTTTTATAAAAATAATAAGATAAAAAATAATACGTGAAAGGATGAGAGGAAAGAAGATAAGAATAAGAGGGGAGAAAATTTTACTTCCATCAAATTAGCAAGATATTGGACATATCGAGTTAATAATACTTTTATTTTAAATAGAGTTCTATGGTCGGTCCGCACCGCGACACTTGAATGTCAAAAGCGTTTTGCTTCTTGCAAAACTTCTACTTTCCTTGCTTCTCCCGCACTTATTTTATCACATTAATGACTTGAAATATTAATGTAGACATCAAAATTTCGGTGAAATAAATGTTGACCAATAATTAAAATTTCAACGTTCACGTGTCACATAAATTTTACATGTAGCGTGTGATTCAACGAAAAATCGAAATAAATTGGAAAAGTCATCAAGTGTGACACGTGTCAATACCTGGCAGAAATGATTTATTTCATCTGATTATTTAAATCCAAAAATCAAGTTTTGGAATTCTATAAATAGGAAGCCAAGACATTCATTTTGGGGGGGGAGAAAGAAGGAAGAAGGAAGGAGAAGGAGAAAGGAAAAGAAGAAAAGAAGGAAGGAAGAAAGAAAGAAGCCTTGAAACTCTAAAGCTCTCAAGCAAATCCCGAAGGATCAAGAAAGCAATCTTCGTTCTTCGTCAAATCCACCTTCAAGATCAAGCCCCGACGGCCCTTGAAGAACTTCCACCAACTCAAGATCAAGCCCCGACGGCCCTTGAGGAAAGTGTTCATCATCCACACATCCGTTCATCCTTCAAGATTAAGCCCAGAAGCCCTTGAAGATCCGTTCATCCTAAGATCAAGCCCCAACGGCCCCTTTGGATCAACAAATCCACACATCCGTTCATCGTTCATCATCCATCAACCTTCAAGATCAAGCCCCAACGGCCTTTGAAGATTCATTCATCATCCGTTCATCCTTCAAGATCAAGCCCCAACGCCCTTGAAGAACTTCCACCGACTCAAGATCAAGCCCCGACGGCCCTTGAAGAAAGTGTTCATCGTTCATCATCCGTTCATCCTAAGATCAAGCCCCAACGACCACTTTGGATCAACAACCTCAACAAATCCACACATCCAACCAACCTTCAAGATCAAGCCCCAACGGCCCTTGAAGATTCATTCATCATCCGTTCATCCTTCAAGATCAAGCCCCAACGCCCTTGAAGAACTTCCACCGACTCAAGATCAAGCCCCGACGGCCCTTGAAGAAAGTGTTCATCGTTCATCATCCGTTCATCCTAAGATCAAGCCCCAACGACCACTTTGGATCAACAACCTCAACAAATCCACACATCCAACCAACCTTCAAGATCAAGCCCAAAAGCCCTTGAAGATCCGCTCATCCACCAACCTTCAAGATCAAGCCCAACGGCCTTTGAAGAACTTCCACCAACTCAAGATCAAGCCCCGACGGCCCCTTGAAGAAAGTGTTCATCATTCATCAACTGTTCATCCTTAGATCAAGCCCCGACGGCCCTTTGGATCAACAATTCATCCACAAACGTACACCCTTCGAAGATAGAATCAGAGGACCAAATTACAAAGAGATTGTAACCCCAAAATCATTAATACAAAATATATATTTTGTACACGTATTCTTGTCGCTTGTTTCAGGAATTATTCGTGTTTACAAATTTGGCACGCCCAGTGGGACAATCTCTACCTCTCATCTCTATCCTCAAATCATCAAAAACGCAAATGGCATCAAGAAAGGATCAAGCTGTTCCTGCAATCAAAGCAAAGAACAAGAACATCATCGCCGCAAGTGGTGATATTTCGGGCATCATAACCCGAAGTAAGGCAAGAGATCTTTTTGCCGCGGCTTCCGCCCCTGCATTAACTCTGTCAAAGGAACAAGAGCACCTGAGGTACGAGCCTGTGATCACCCTAGCCTCGCTAAGGGCATCAAAAGGGGAGAGCCCAAGGAAATACGCAGAGTCCCTACTCTCCGACGCTGATTCGAGCGGCAGCACAACCATGCAAGTCATGACCACTGGAGCAACTTCAATCGAGGAGCAGCTAGCTCAAATGAATGAAGCAATTGCAAAGCTCACACGGACTGTGGAAGAGAAGGACTTGCAGATTGCCGCACTCGTCAACCAACTAGATGCGCAGCTCGACGTGAAAGTCGACCCAATTGTTGGCCTATTAAAGAAAGAAGGCGACGAAGAAGAGGAGCCACCAGCGGAGAAAGTCGAAGAGAAGCTGAAACTAGACCAAGCAACGGCGTCCATGGGATCTCTCTCTATCCAGCAACTACAGGAGATGATCGCAAGCACTATCAAGACACAGTACGAAGGAAGCTCGCATGACTCCGTACTGTACTCAAAGCCTTACTCCAAGAAGATTGATGCTTTGAAGATGCCAAGGGGTTATCAGCCCCCAAAATTCATGCAGTTCGATGGAAAAGGCAACCCGAAGCAACATGTCGCCCATTTCATTGAAACTTGCAACAATGCTGGGACAGAGGGAGACTACCTCGTCAAACAGTTCGTGCGTTCACTGAAAAGTAATGCTTTTGACTGGTACACTGACCTCGAACCTGAGTCTATCAACAGTTGGGACCAGCTAGAAAGGGAATTCCTCAACCGCTTCTACAGCACTCGTCGTACTGTAAGCATGTTAGAGCTGACCAGCACGAAACAGTGGAAAGATGAACCTGTCGTCGACTACATAAATAGATGGCGTTCTTTAAGTCTGGATTGCAAAGATCGGCTTTCTGAAACCTCTGCCATTGAGATGTGCGTTCAAGGCATGCAGTGGGGACTACACTACATCCTTCAAGGCATCAAACCACGAACATTTGAGGAGCTAGCCACCCGCGCCCATGATATGGAGTTAAGCATCAACCGTCATGGGAAGAAAGAACAGATCGCCGACTACAAGAATGACAAAGTTTTGGGGCCAAAGGTGGATAAGGCTACGTGGAAACCCACCAAGGAAGCAATGACGGTCAACACAACTCCAGTCAAAATCCCTACACGAAGCAAGGCAATTCAAACCGAAGCTTTTCGTGATCAAGAGATACGTAGACGCACTTTGAAGGAGCTTGAGGAGAAGACTTATCCATTCCCCGACTCTGACGTGGTTGCCATGTTGAAAGACTTGCTTGACAAAAAGGTGATCGACCTACCTGAGTGCAAACGGCCAGAAGAGATGAACCGTACTGATAGTCCAAGGTACTGCAAATTCCACCGCTTCATTAGTCATCCGACGGAAAAGTGCTTTGTGCTAAAAGATCTCATCATGAAGTTGGCTCAGAAAGGGATCATCGAGCTAGATCTTAATGATGTGGTGAAGTCAAACTATACCACCGTCACTTCTGGCTCTTTGAACTCAAAATCTTCACCTCAACCGCTGGGGGCATGCTCCAAAACCATGTCAGTCAAGTCAAGTGAAGTTGAAGGGTGGACTTATGTCACTCCAAAGAAAATGCACAAGAAACATAGGTCTCCTCCACAAGTTCACCAATCGGAAAGGGGGCAAAGCCGCTACCGTCAACCTTCAAAGCTACATGAAAGTGTTGAGGATGATGAAGTTATGACACAAAGATCGTCCGTTGCCATCACGATGCGCGATTTCTTCCCCAAAGACTTCTTCAATCACTCAGTCAAGACTCCTTGTTACGAAGATCGCAAGGAATGCCCCTCTAAGATTGTTTGACAAATTTAAAAAAAGCTCCTCGTTCGCACGAGCCTAAAAGGCGACAACCAAAGCTCCTTGTCTGCACGAGCATAAAAGGCGACAGCAAACGCTCCTTGCCTGCATGAGCTGAAAATGCAAACGGCACCAAGACGCTCCTGGCCCGCAAGAGCATAAACTGTGTACGGCAAAATCATCATCAAAATCATCACTCATTTGAACTACGTTATGACTTGATCTCTTCTTTGGAAGAGTACGTAGGCAACTTGAAACTTCAAAACTTCAAGTACAGTCACATCAAAATAAATAAATAAATATTTCATTAAATAAAGTCAATTTTATTACAAAAGAAAAGAAAAAAAAATATACATATGTTACTATGTATTAAAAATATATATATATATATATATATTCTCTACTTAAAAAATAATAATAAATAAAATAAAAAATTACAGTTTCTCAACAAAAAAAAAAAAAAAAAAAAAAAAAGTATATATATATTTCTATATTATATATGTTGAAGTGTCCACTTAAAAGCCGCATGGATGGAGCAAAACAATCTTAGCCAGCTCGCTTCCACTAGCCCAAATCCAGGCCCAGACTTCCCTCTCTCTTTTCACTCCCCCTGCTTCGTCTCTCGCTGTTTCTCCAGCTGCTTCGAATCCAGAGAAGTCGGAAGAGTGACGTCGTTTAGTGTCTTGGACCAGATTGAGCTGCGGGAAATGCCGAAAATGGCGAACTCGTTTCCCGAGGAGGTGCTGGAGCACGTGTTCTCATTCATACAGACGGACCAGGACCGGAACTCGATCTCGACGGTGTGCAAGTCGTGGTACGAGATCGAACGGTGGTGCAGGCGGCGGATTTTCATAGGGAACTGCTACGCTGTCAGCCCTAGGATGGTGATCAGGCGGTTCCCGGACATTAGATCCATCGAGCTCAAGGGAAAGCCTCACTTCGCCGACTTCAATCTGGTCCCCGACGGCAAGCTCCGTTACCTTGGCGGCGAAACCCGTGTACTCGCCGTTCCCCGCTCTATTTCCTTTTCCGAGCTGTCGTCCAAGCTGACTGAGTTGTGTGGGCCATCCGTGACGGCGGTTAGTCTCCGCTGTCAACTACCCATCGAAGATCTCGACGCCCTCGTGTCCACCAAGTCCGATGAGGATCTCGTTAATCTCATCGAGGAATACGACAGAGCAGCCTCTTCCGCTAATATGAAGATCAGAGCATTCCAGACCCTCTCCGATCGCCTCTTCAAGGACACCCCCTGGCCATCCGTCGATGCCGTCGCCGACTACGTCGACAACGACCACGTATTCCGCCTCCTCTACCGCGAGATGTGGTTCCGCCACCTCTACACCCGCCTGTCCCCGACGCTGAAGCAGCGAATCGACTCCTGGGACAATTACTGCAGCCTCTTCCAGGTCGTCCTCCACGGCGTCGTTAATATGCAGCTGCCGAACCTCCAGCAACTCCACCTGCAGGGCAATTCATTCTCTGGTGCTGATCTCTCTGTCGCGTTTCCTGCTTCACAGGGCAAAAGATAAAAGGACCTGTCGATCTGAGTAGAGTTTGCAAGATGGAGAGCTTGAGCAGCTTTTGGCAGTTGGGTGATGAGCTTCGAGGGCAGTCAAAAGTCGCAGAAGATAACAAATGGTTAATGGCCGCTTCAAAATTGGCTGAGCAGACAAGGGTAAAAGGCGAGCGTATGAATAACCTTGATCTTTCAAAGGGCTCAGAATCAAATCAGAGGCGAAGGTCGAAGAGAGGAGCTGCGCCTGTAGCAGATAAAAAAAAAAAAAAAAAAAAAAAAAAAAAAAAACCAACTTCAACCCTGAATCAAATCAGCTACGAAGGTCAAGGAGAGGTATTGTGCCTGCAATGGATGACACAAAAAGCTTCGCCAGACTTGGAATCAGATTCGAACGAAGATCCTCTCTGCCTTCTTTCCGCCATCTATGAGCCCAGCAATCGCATTGTGCACTCTCGTCCTGACCGACAACAACAGGGGGTAGCAAAGTGGTGACATTCGGAGACCACAGTTCTCGCTCTACTTTCTCTGGCCTGCTCCAGGTGGCCGAGGCCCAAATCACGGCGGCCCCAATCGCGGCCCTTGCAGGAGGTTCTTCGAACCCTGTCGCTTGATAGTTTGATTGTTTTTATTACATTAATAAGCACTGGTGCAATGACATCTGCTGTTTAAGCTGGCTTGTATGATGAGTTGTCTGATCCTTTTGGGCTTGATGCATTTTTAACTCCTGCCTCTGCAAAGAAAGATGACAGAACAAAGAAAAAAAAAAAAAAAGATAACAAGATCACGAAGGAAGAGGAAAGAGAAATGGCTGGTAGTGCTTGACGTAGTTCTCTATGCCGTTTACATGCTCAGCATCTTCGACATCTACTTCAAGTCCTTCATTGTCCACAGCATGGATCCCGTCACCTTTCGCTTCTCAAGTCACCTTCTCCTCTCGCCAACAACAGCTCATCACCTAGCGCCTGCAAGTCCTTCAGCTTCACTCTGGCCACCGTGATCAAAGTCAACGAAGAGCTTCATTGACCGCCGTCAAACGACTAGCCGATCGTGAAGCTCGACGTTTTGCACTACTTCAAGCTCTGGTTGTTTCTGCACTTCCGCCATGGCTGCTGCCTTTGAATGTGATCAACAAAATCAAAGTTTGTTAACTCACACCCAAAGATCTCGTCCGTCTACTTGCATCTGCTGCTGCCTTTGAATGTGATTGACAAAATCAAAGTTTGTCAACTCACACCCAAAGATCTCCTCCGTCTTCTCTCGGACTCGCCTGGGTTTTCACCCACGAACTCAGCCTTGCAGATGGCCTTATAACGAAAAAAAAAAAAAAAAAAAAAAAAAAAAAAAAAAAAAAAAAAAAAGTAGCAATGATTATGCCGGGAAGCATATTTCAAAAGAAAAAAAAAAAAAAAAAAAAAAAAAAAAAAAAAAAAAAATGTAGTAATTATGATGCTGGGAAGCATCTTTTAAAAGAATAATAAAAAAAAAAAAATAGCAAATGATGATGTTTCTGGAATCATGTGAAAAAAAGAAAATATATATATATATATATATATAATAAAAAGAAAGAAAAAAACGATGGTGGTGCTTCTGGCACCATCTGAAATATATATATATATATATATATATAAATGAATGGTGGATCAGTGCCACCGAAAGCAAACAAATGAATAAAAAATTGATGATGGACAGTGATATATATGTTTTATCAGTATTTAGCATAATACACTAAATAAAACGAAGCATGTTCATTGATTTTCGAGAAATTACAAGTGCGAAAAAAAAAAAAAAAAAAAAAAAAAAAAAAAAAAAAAAAAAAAAAAGTATCTAACAAAGAAAGAGGAGAGATGGACCCTTCACAAAGGTCGTTCACGAAAAGCCCCACTACTCGGCCAAACTCCAGGAGCGGGAAGCACCGAAGATAGATCATTCGAGGCCCCAATACTTGGTGGAACACTTGATGACGCCGGAAAAATGTGCCTCTGGAAGAAAGACGCAAGCCTTTGACGGTCACTTTGAATGCGACCTTGAGATTCTTGCATCTCATCAAGCTTCCTCTTCATGCCCGACGAATAGTTATTTGCAAGCACATGCAAACTTCTATTCTCGTACTTAAGCTGTTTAATCTCCTGCTTAAGATCTTCCACCTCTGCCATCAACGATTCCACCTGACGGGACCGAGCAAGCAGGCGTTGGCCCATGTTGGACACAGAGCCCGCACACTGAACACTAAGAGCGAGGGACTCTTGAACGGCCAACTCATCGGACCGTCCTGACAGCAGCCTACTATCTTTTGGAGTAAGGAGGTTCCTAGCTACTATTGTAGCTGTTGTGGCGTCCTGCATCACGGAGTCTTCACCTGTAAGAGGACCGTTAGAAGATAAGAAAGAAGGACACCATACATTACCTTGAAGCGGCGCAACCGGATCACTGCTGAGACTCAATTCTAAGCTAAGGTTCGATGGGTTAGCCATTTTTCAAAGGTGTTAAAAGAGATGGGTGGATGGGGTTAAAACTCAAAAGGCCGGAGATGATTTTCAGGAATGAGCAACCTTCAAAATATGCATGTTACAGGTGATCAATACCTCTATAAAAAGGAAGAGGCGCTTCCTCAGAAATCAAAGAGGCGTTGGTTCAGAAATCGAAGGGCCGCTTATTCAGAAATCGAAGAGACATCGCTCTGCAAATCTCAAAAGCTGGATTTTCCGGCGTAAGTTAGGCGACGCTTTCTCGGCTTTCTAGAAAACGCGTTCAACTTTATCAAAAGATCTCCGACAAAGTTGAAAACACGTGGAGGCTGGCGACGCTTTCGCGGCTTTTCAGAACACGGGTGCCACTTTGTCAAAAGATCACGTGGAGGTCATCATCGCAGCTACACATCTTTAGCTGACAAGCGCAAAGTTCGGCGACGCTTTCTCTGCTTTTCAGAAAACGCGTGCCACTTTGTCAAAAGAGACGCTCGTTCAGAAATCGAAGAGGCGTCGTTCAGAAATCAAAGAGGCGTATTCAAAGATCGAAGAGTCGTCACTATTTCAAAAAGCCGAATTTGCGGTATCAAAACCTTTGTCGACAAGGGTAAAAGAACAGTACCACCACTTGCTATTGGGAAATCCCTATATATGTCGACCTTCATCTTTTATGGCAAGGCAAACCTGCAAACAAGAAAAAAAAATGCCCAACTCTTCTTCACCTCCGAGAGTACACTCCCAGCAAAGCATCTCAAAATGCTCAGTTTTCTTCCTCTCCGGGAATACCCTTGCAAACAAATGACACCAAGGCAAAAGTATCTCATATCATCAAGGGCGAAAGCAAAGGTATCTCATATCATGCTTTTCCCCTATCTTTTCCTTTGCCCTTGTTCTCACCTGCCAGGACAAGGACAGAGAAAGCAATATGTCGGAACCTCCACTCAAACTTGCGCTGCCACCAAGAAGTGATGGTCCATTCAAATGCAAGGTTTGCATTCAACTCCTGCATCAGGAACAAATACTGCAAGAGAAGATGCTAAACCTGCATAAGGGAAGACCACATCTGCTCGGAGAAAGACAAGTGACAATGAAAAATCAATCTTTCTATTTCGTACTCTTCAGTACGAATTAGAAAGATTGAACAAAGAAACAGAAAAAAGGAGTAAGCTCAAACCTTCGGGGGAGACCAAAAGAATCCTGCTGCCCAGTTCAAGCGTAGCACAAAGGAAAATCAACGAGTGGAGGAGACCAAAAGAATCCTGCACCCAGTTCAAGATTAAGCCTGCGGAAAATCAACGATTGGAGAAAACCAGAAAATCTTCCAGTCAAACTCAAGATCAAGCCTCGATGGCCCTTGAAGAAATCACAAGGCCGATTCAAAATCAAGTGTTCACCACCCTTGAATCAAATTCAACTCCAGATAAAAGGAGTAAGTTCAGACCTTCGGAGGAAACCAAAAGAATCCTCCATCCCAGTTCAAGATTAAGCCTGCGGAAAATCAACGATTGGAAGAAACCAGAAAATCTTCCAGTCAAGCTCAAGATCAAGCCTCGATGGCCCTTGAAGAAATTTCCAGCCCAATTCAAGATCAAGCCTCGACGGCCCTTGGGTTGACATCTACATTAAAGGACTTCAAAACGCATCTTCTACACGTGACAAGCACATGTCTACGACGCGCCTTGAAGTGGGGGCATTTGTAGACATCAAAATTTCGGTGAAATAAATGTTGACCAATAATTAAAATTTCAACGTTCACGTGTCACATAAATTTTACATGTAGCGTGTGATTCAACGAAAAATCGAAATAAATTGGAAAAGTCATCAAGTGTGACACGTGTCAATACCTGGCAGAAATGATTTATTTCATCTGATTATTTAAATCCAAAAATCAAGTTTTGGAATTCTATAAATAGGAAGCCAAGACATTCATTTTGGGGGGGGAGAAAGAAGGAAGAAGGAAGGAGAAGGAGAAAGGAAAAGAAGAAAAGAAGGAAGGAAGAAAGAAAGAAGCCTTGAAACTCTAAAGCTCTCAAGCAAATCCCGAAGGATCAAGAAAGCAATCTTCGTTCTTCGTCAAATCCACCTTCAAGATCAAGCCCCGACGGCCCTTGAAGAACTTCCACCAACTCAAGATCAAGCCCCGACGGCCCTTGAGGAAAGTGTTCATCATCCACACATCCGTTCATCCTTCAAGATTAAGCCCAGAAGCCCTTGAAGATCCGTTCATCCTAAGATCAAGCCCCAACGGCCCCTTTGGATCAACAAATCCACACATCCGTTCATCGTTCATCATCCATCAACCTTCAAGATCAAGCCCCAACGGCCTTTGAAGATTCATTCATCATCCGTTCATCCTTCAAGATCAAGCCCCAACGCCCTTGAAGAACTTCCACCGACTCAAGATCAAGCCCCGACGGCCCTTGAAGAAAGTGTTCATCGTTCATCATCCGTTCATCCTAAGATCAAGCCCCAACGACCACTTTGGATCAACAACCTCAACAAATCCACACATCCAACCAACCTTCAAGATCAAGCCCCAACGGCCCTTGAAGATTCATTCATCATCCGTTCATCCTTCAAGATCAAGCCCCAACGCCCTTGAAGAACTTCCACCGACTCAAGATCAAGCCCCGACGGCCCTTGAAGAAAGTGTTCATCGTTCATCATCCGTTCATCCTAAGATCAAGCCCCAACGACCACTTTGGATCAACAACCTCAACAAATCCACACATCCAACCAACCTTCAAGATCAAGCCCAAAAGCCCTTGAAGATCCGCTCATCCACCAACCTTCAAGATCAAGCCCAACGGCCTTTGAAGAACTTCCACCAACTCAAGATCAAGCCCCGACGGCCCCTTGAAGAAAGTGTTCATCATTCATCAACTGTTCATCCTTAGATCAAGCCCCGACGGCCCTTTGGATCAACAATTCATCCACAAACGTACACCCTTCGAAGATAGAATCAGAGGACCAAATTACAAAGAGATTGTAACCCCAAAATCATTAATACAAAATATATATTTTGTACACGTATTCTTGTCGCTTGTTTCAGGAATTATTCGTGTTTACAATTAAATAACATATTAAACATATAAGCAACCCTTCTTTTTAAACATTTTTCTCTTTGTACAGAATTTGGCTGTTTAAATAATTAATTTTTTAATTATAAATTAAACAAGTATTCATCTGTAATTTGACTAGCAGTAGAAGTTTCTGCTGATTTTTCATCGATCATCACTGTCCTTTCTCTTTTTAAACATTGTTTATAGTACAAACCCATCACATAGCATATTCAAAGATTGAAAATTCTAGTGCACATATACGTATAGTATACATTACTTAATTTAATATATGATGATATTATGAAGTTCCATTGAAGAATCTAAATGATTTAAAACCCTAAATATATACACAAACCACATAAATATATGGAAATTCATTACATAAATTAAGGACACTAAAATCGCACTATAAAATCCAATATATACTAAAAATTCATGAATAATGAACGGAGTAGCCAAAATGAAGGGAGCACAGCGCATCACGTCATGAGTCACAAAAGTAATAAAGATTCATGCTTTTTTTAGAAGCACTTTTTTGCTTGGCACTGTTTCTTGCTAGACAAAAAAGACCTCCATGCTTGCCTCCTTGGCGGAATCACAAACGGGGCAAAATCCAAGAAACCCTTCACAGAACTTGCACGAACAGAGATGCCTGCACGGCAGGAAAAGCACGCATGAGCTCCGTGCCTGGCAGCTTTTGCAGACCAACTTTCTCCTTTTCTCTTCCGCTAATTGATCTTCCTCCATAATTGCTACTCTGTTTTCACAGCAGGACTCTGCGTCGTCGGTTTCGCTGCTGACGAGAACCAGTCGCTCTCTGACCTGCTCGAGCTCGTTGTTCAGGTCCGTCACCATTGTTTCGTTCGCTTTCGCCACCCGCTGCCACATATCGCTTTCCATCTCTGCTTTTCTCAGGCAGTCCTGGAGCTCCATCGCTTTTTTTGTCGCCTGTCCTAACTCTTCTTCTTTCTGCCTAATTACATTCAACGTTCTGGATTCTAAGTTGCACAACAGAGCTGCTAGTTGCTGCTTCCTCTGCTCTTGCAATGCGAACTTCAGCTTTTCACTCTGCTTTCAAGAAAATAAATAAATCAGCAAAAGAAAATAAGTATCCGTTATCTTTAAACATTTTCTCAGAGGAAAAATAAAACGAAAATTAATGAAAAGAGTTTGAAAACTTTGAATTTTCACGATAAGGACAAAATAAAAGGTAAAGTGAATAGTACCATATTTGATTTTTTAGTATAAAAATGTGATTTTTCGTTAAAGTGAACGGTACCGTAAATTTTTCGTTAAAACTCCTAAAAATAAATCCTCATTTATTCACTGGTGATGTGATTTATTCATGGTTTCTTATAAGAAAATATAAATTACGAAGAGATTGGTAATGTTATCTTAGTTTGTAAAATTATTTTAGTAAACTTTTTACTCTTTTTCTAGCAAATAAAAAAAGAAAAGAATTCTCACTCTATTTTTAAAGCAAAAGAAATGAATTAGAAATTAATCACACTAAATATAAACATACAAAAACACTAAAGAAAACTCTATACCCATTAATGTTGGACATCATTTATTTAAATTTTAGGAAATTTTAACGAAACACTCAATACTGTTCAACACTTAATACTGTTTATTTTTGTCATTTTGATTCAAACTCAAAATTTTCAAATTCTTTTCATTAATTTTTCTTAAATTTTATTTCATTTTGTCGTTTTGATTAAATCTCAAAATTTTTAAACTCTTTTCATTATTTTTTTTAAAATTTTATTTCATTAAATATAACGTGATTGTCAGCTATTAAATTATTATTAAAATATTTGGTTAACGTTATTTTCTTTTTTGGTGACCATCAAACGTATAACAAATATGATCCCAATAACATTTTTCTTATAGTCATCGTCTCTAAATTTATTATGCAAAAACATTAATAGATGAAATATTTTTTGTATTAACTTTTGAGAGAACAAATAAAATTAACGCAACAATCACCATGAAAAAATAAAGAACCCAAAAACAGAAAAAGAAAATTAACACCAATAATCACCTGCAATTGAATAATGCAGTCGAGCTCGTGCCTTTGCAAGTCCAGCTGCGCCCCTAAGTTTTCCGAGAACTGCGTAGGGAGAAAGCCATTGAAAGTGGAAGGCGAAACCGAAGCTCCTAACTGGTTGCAGAAATCAAAGCCCGTCGTGTTTAAATTCTGCCTCTGATTCTGTGCCACCGGAAGACGGAGGTGAAAGTGATTTTGAGGAGGATGAAGGGCGGGAGGCGGAGGGCTCGGAATGCCGGAAAATATGTCGTCGAGGCCGGAAACAGGGTGGAGCAGCGCCGCCGCCGACGACCAATCTTCAGAAAAATACAAACTTTGTGCCTGAACTGCCATGTTTTTTCTCAGACAACCTTTAATCTTCTGCCTTCACATATTTCATGGGACTTTTTAATACGAAACGAAATGGGGTAGGTTTAGAAAAGCAGGAGGGTTCAATGTTCTTGTTATATCAGAAAAGATGCATGACCCTTTCTCTCTCTCTCTAAAAACTCTCTCTCTCTCTCTATTGGCATAACCTTTGCCTTCTTTGTTGCTTTGAGTTTCTGGTTTTACTGGAAGAGTGGTTTATATATAGAGAGGAAACGGACAAATCTTTCTTAATATAAATTAATTGTGACTAATTAATGCTAATTAAGGAACTAAAAAAAGGGTTAATTAATAAAGAAAGTTAAGAGCTTTGGGAGTCTTTTTCTCTGTTGCCCAAAATCCCAAAACTCTTGAAAACCAACGGGAGCATTTAATGGGAGACAGATGTGGGGGTGGCGGGAAAACGACGACGTACACATGCAGATTTGGGGACAGAAGGGTCACAGAATGATCGGGTCAGAGATTTGATAAAGAAAGTAAGAGAGAGAGAGAGGAGAGAGAGAGAGACGCGAAAGGGTCAGACGTTACGAAGAGGGAGCGGGGGAGGAGATTGAGAGAATCGGAGCGATTGGAGAAATTGTCAGTGTGGTCATTGGGAAGGGCTGAAGAATAGCATTTCTATCCATTCCCTGTTTCCTATTTTTGTAAATTTCAACCAATTCAATTCACGCTTTTTTTAACAATCTACATACTAAAAACATGTTGCAAACAGGGCTACCACCAAGATTACATTTTAATGTGTTGTACCATGTATACAGGTTTAACGTTGTTTGATTTCCATTTAATTAGAAGATGTCACACGTTCACACGTATGCAAATATATATATCAATGATCTATGGAGCTTAAGAAAAAGTTTATTTGGTTGAGGATTAACAATCTTAATATAGGTGTTGATGATGTGATCAATGAAGACTTTTTTTCATGAAAAAACATGAAGATATGAGGATGGGTTAATGGACATAGTCATGCACCAAGAGCATCTCCACTGGTAGTGCTCTTGCCCTGCCAATTAGGTTAAACAGCCTTTAGGCTGAATAATTCAGCTCCAGCGGTTCCAGAAGAAGGAGATTGGATCAAAGACAGTTACTACTTAGAGTGCATAGTAAGAGCAAGTTCACTGCCATTGCCTTATCCTTTCCCTCCTAAAACGAGTGGAGATGCCCCAAAAGGAGCTCATCTACTACAATCTTCATACGATAGCTATGCTTCTAACTACTCCAACAGCATATTGAGACATTATTGATTACCAATACGTTGTATTATTATTGATATTGTCGATACTTCAATTACATAACTATCAGGTTCATATGCTTATGATTAGAAATTTAATTGAAAAGTAAATAACGATGTAGATACATCTTTTCATGAAAAACTTGACAAACTTGTTCTTGGTCCAAATATTTGGCCTAGTACAATGACTTCTACATAGTCCCACCCAAATGATCCAAACCATAACACCTTCTAAAAACAAACAAAAAAACCCTTCTTGCAAAGTCTCAATCTTTGATGATGCATATTATTAGTAACATACTAGGTAAACTTCAAACGATGTATCATTTATTAGTGATATCTGAACCAGCAAATCTTTTCCGCCTTTAGGCCTTGACTCTAGCAGACTCTCCCACTGCACTTTCCATTCGAGCATACCATTCACCAATCCGCGTGTTCTCCACCATATCTTTGCCGGATTTAAGGTGTCGAATGGGCCTCAAAACACCAAATACAGCGAGATCGGCTAAATTAGGATTTGATCCACCTATTCAAAGACAAGATTATCCGATAATTTCTTAGTTCTAATCATAAGGTAAGTCTTTAGTTAATCAAATATGATGTTTCAGATAAGCATACCAAGAAATTGTCTGCCATTGAGAGCATCAACCCATGTTTCTGCAGCTCCATACAAGGATGCACGTTCATCAGTAATATTGTGTCTCTTCTTCAGTTTCTTTGACACAAAATACATAGCAGCAGCTCCGGTATACTTCGCTACCATCCTTTCGTACAAACTAAAGTTTCCTACATGTAAGAGATTTCAAGAGATTTAAGCACTAAAGGGAAGGAGCTTGGATTGCTTAAAATCAAAGGTAAGCCAGCTTCCAAAGTGACTTTTGGAGGATTGGAATTTAACTAAGTCCTAGTCAGAAGGAACCTAATTGAGACTCTTGAGCATTTGTTGCTGTAGGTTTAAGAAAATTCTAGTTACTCAAATCACATATGAGAGTTAGAGCTTCCAATCGTGATTAATGGCATCAATACTAAACACCACAGATGTACAAATTCACACAAACAACTTACGCTACTTGAGCCAAAGTCTTCCACAAACAGATCTCTTGTGAAGGGTGTTAATAAATAACTGCCGATTTGGGATTTTGGAAACAAAAGAGAAATGAAATCAGTAATGAAGTGGTGCGATATCATACCATGACTGGTGATGTAGTCAAACGACTCGAGAGCCTCTGAAACAGTTCTATATATGTTTGGTGATAAAACATGCACCAAGTGATTATCCACCCACCTACATCGCAACTAATCAGTTATTACCATGCCAAAAACTGCGTGATCACAACACCGAAAAAAATAAAAGTTTCGAAAGGAAATCTAGTCGCTGCAAGAGATATCTCTTATTGTATCGAACCTTAGTACCGTGCAAAAAAAAAGGTTTACAAAGTAGAACAGTGAAAGCAAAAACTAACCCGCGCCACTTCATTTCTTCTTCACCATTTAAGACCGGGTTCTCGTTATTGATCCTTAGGTACAGCTTATCAATTATTTCTGTGAACACAAAACAAAACATGGAAACTTAACTATACACAAAGAACTTAATCTGAAATTAGATATAGTTAATAACTACAGCATCCAGCATCAAGAAGATACAAAATGGTAAGGAAATAACAAAATGTCCAAGAACCTGAAGAGTCAACCATCTGTTCGCCGTCGACTTTCAGGATCGGCACCTTCTTGTAATCGGACCAATTAATCTCCTTTTTGCTAATGGGATTAACCTCCACAACTTTGTACGGAATGTTATAGTAATCCAAGAATGCTGTGATACAGGAAAAATTCAATGGCGAAAACAATCAAATAGCATAAAATCGAAAGCGAAATCCAGAAGCAGACTCCTATAATTTCCAAAATAAGATCAATTTAGGTGGAATTCCGATTCCCAAATCATACAGTGACCAAATTAGAAAGTGAAAGTTGCAAAATTTCATCTTCAAGAATGAATTCGAGATACTTTACCTCTAACCTTGTTGCAGAAAGGACAAGCTTCGTACTGGTAGAGCTCGACGTCTTTGGAGAGGAACTTTTCATGGGCGTGCGGTTCCTGGGCCAGAGAAGCGGCGGCGTTTGTAGAGAAGCACACATGCCCTCCGGCACAGGGAGCCGCAGTGGAGGGTCTCGATAGGCCGAAGCGATCGCCGAGTCTCTGTGTGAACCACAGCGGATTTGAATTCGAGCACGTGCTCAACATCGCTGCTTGAACCAGACGGTGCTGAGTTGCGGAGATGGCTGTGGTGGCGCCGCCCATAGAAGCGGCGGCTCTGGTGAGCAAAGCGATTCCGCTAATCCTTCTCATGGTGAACGAATCGGATCACTGTAAGATCGTTCGCAAGTCTCCCACTTCTGGGTTTCGTTGAAATGGAAGAAGCCTGTTGGGGTTTAATCAGGGTTTTGGTGCAGGCAGGTATACGCTTCCTAAAAAAATTGATTTTTTCAGTTGGGTTTAGGAGCCCGTGTTTCCGAAAAAGCCCAAATAAAACAAGTAAAACCCAAAAGAGACGAAATCCAAGTAACTAGGTCAAGTGTGAGAATTTCGTCGTGGATTTTTAGTTCAAGTGAGATTTTCGTTTTGACGGAAGTTTTAACGGAGTTAACGAAAATGATCATAGATATACATTTTAACAAGTTAAGGGACTAATGGACATGAATTTTTAGTTAATAAACCATTAGTTCAATTCGATTAAAGTTGAGAGAACATTGCTACAGTTTCCACTAATATGGAGAAAATTGACATTACCGAAGAGCACAAGGCGCCCAAGGCACAAAAAGGCCTTTGATCATTCGCATTAAATTGCGAAGGCCCTGGGAACCATATGCCTCACCTGCGCCTCTTCTTCCGGAGGGGCAGATTTCCTCCCTCCAAAAATGAAAGAAATTTTTAATTGTGACGGGAACACAAATAGTACACTATGTGTTTTAATAGGAATGGAGGGAAATTTTATTTTTTAAGTTATTAACTTTTTAGCACACATATTCCACCATTTGTTTAGTGACACTTGGTGTATCACCCGTGTACCGATCACACTGAAAAATCACTCCAGAAAGGGCACAAGTTGATCCTGTACCCAATCAACCTCCTAGTTCAAAGGCTTGCTGGACTTCCAGGACTTGCTTCAAAATGTGACCAAGCTTTGTCCAGTCCAACATCAGACGGGATCAAAAGTATTGGTGAAAAGAGTGTTGGGAGAGAAGATTCAGAGTGTGGAAATCTGACAGAGAATCGACGGTACTGATGACGAAGAATGGCTTTTTAGGACACCGTCACAAAACAGTTGCGGGTCTAAAAGGTCTAAAACTGAAAGCGAGGTCTCATGTCATACAAGTAGCACGCAGTGGCCGAAAGCACATTGTTGCCTGAGGCCGCCATATGTGCATTGTCCTACACGGTTCCGTTCTAGTGTGTTTCTTCCATCTTTTGTGGCAGCACTAGCGGTTTTAAACTGTACAGTTGTATGAGCATCAACTAAACACTGATTTATTCGTTCGTTAATTGATTTTATCGATTAATTCATAAGAAAAACATCGGTCTATTTTGTATGTATGTGTATATATATATATGTATGTATGTATATTTACATGTTTATGAAAGAAATTTCACTTAAACAATAATGGTCAGGTGTAGACAAGTAGTCCTTTAACGTGTACCGGTGTGGTTTCTCTGCACTAGATGCTGTGTTTGTTGAACTTGATCTGCTGATGCTACCATCATTTGTATCGGACATTGCAGAAACCGAATGCCGCCCGACTTCCGGGAATAGGTCGTCGTCTTCATCTCGACAACACGTCTCTCTCGACTTGACAGCATGAAGATTAAAGCACTCATTTGCGTCCGTCTCTCCCGTTAGTAGCTTCAGAACCTGGCTCGCTTTCGGTCGAAGACGAGGTGACTGGTTTATGCAAAGCCCTGCTGCCATTACCATTCTGCGCATTTGGGCAACATCGTAGTCCCCATTTAACTTTGGATCCAGCAATGCTTTAAGATCCATAACGTCTAACAAATTTCTTGCCTGCATCAAAGAACTTTAGATCAGCAATGCGGAAAATGCACAAAATTTAAATGTACAGGATTTGAAACTATACAAAGAATGGAAACTTACCCATTTGACCAAACTCTCTTGTCCTTTCGAAGCCTCGGCATGGACCGGCTTTCGACCGGATAAGAGTTCGAGGAGAATAACACCAAAGGCATAAACATCAATCTTGTCACTCACCATCCCATGCATGAAATATTCCGGAGCAATGTACCCAAAAGTCCCCACCACATCACTACTTATCACGTAACCAGAATCGGTCGGTCCCCATGTAGCAAGCCCGAAATCAGATAACTGCAAGCAAAGCATAAACTCGAGGTTCAACACAAAAATGTACAATTTGGAAAGAAAGTGAAATAATGAATGTACGACAGGCAGATCATATTATGTTGTACCTGCGGCTGAAGCTCATCAGAGAGAAGAATGTTTGAGGATTTAACATCGCGATGAATGATCGGCTGAGGGCAGTTATTGTGCAGGTAAGTTAGAGCCTCTGCAACTGCAACAGCCACATTGAATCTCACTTCCCATGGGAGTATACATCCATCACTGCAATCTGCACTAAGATGAAATGAAATTCGAATTCAGACAAGTGACGAGCACTTCGTTTGAAATTCAAATTACTAGAGCCCGTTTGATAACCACTTCGTTCTAATTTCTTACCGTACAAGTTTCCTTCCAAGCTCCCTCTGGGAAAGAGGTCATATACCAAAATAAGGTTGCCATCTTCCACACATACACCAACTAGAGAAGTGATGTGTTTGTGCTGAATTGAAGACACAAACTTGGTTTCCAATAAAAAGTCATCCCAAACTTCCTTGTACGATTTCAGAACCTTGACCGCCACTGATTCACCTCCCTCGAGACATCCTCTGTATACGCTGCTACACCCTCCTTCGCCGATAAGATTTTCTGTTCACAAACCAATTGTTTAAATTCTTGCGAGCAAGAACGCATTTTTAATAAAAGCACTTATGAGCAGAAGTTTTTTCTTACGAAAGTAATCCCAAACGAGCACTTAATTTACCTGCGGAGAAGTGACAAGTTGCGCTACTGATTTCTGCATAGCTGAAAAGCCTGCAACCTGCTGAGTTTTCTGCAACAAGAATCTCCAATTCATCGGAAAGCTGTGTTGGTGCTACTGTCAAGCAATTTTCATCACCTTCCTGCGGCTGTGAATTTGCCGAAAGAAATCGACGGCTAGGCAGGTCCATCATCACCCACTGTACCACGGACATATTTTCTCTGGATTTAAATTCTCTCATAGGAGTAGTACTCATAGTTTCCGCTGAGGCAGCAGCTATCCGCAAGAGCGGCCAACCGGGCCTCGACAACGGTGATTCATCATCCTCTCTCTCGGAAAACATGTCGGAGCTATCCGATTTCTGGCGAGCTTCCTGGCTCAGCCTTAGAGGACTAACGGTTAGTCCCTGAAGAGGCCATCCAAGAGCTGGTTCTGGCATCTCAATTTTGAACGGACAAGTGGAGCTCAAAAGCACTTCATCGCAACTGCCTCGGTAATTAGAACCTAATGAATCACGCATCGATGAACTTGAGTTTTCGGAAGAACAATGAAGATGACAAAATCAATAGTAGTTAGCCCTTCTTGATCATCATTCAACCTTTCAAACTTAAAGCTTTGGACTTTTTTAAACTGGTATGCTGATGCTCCATAGGAAATATTATATGCATATGAGACTGCTCAAAACTATATTATATATAATAACAGAGAGCCACCAGGGGCTAATATATTACATAATTTCCACGTTCTACTTGTTGGTGAATTTATCACGTTTACCTGATTGATAAAACAGTGACAATTTTTTAGATTAATTGAAATAGTTAGAATATGAGGCGAGAATGTATGTTAGTCGTCTATTATGATTTAAATTGGTGTAGAGAAGTCTAATAAAAAGAGGTTTTGAATAATTGCAGACGATATGGCACTTAAACATGGTTTGCATCCTGGATTATGTACTTGATGTTTGACAAGGGTTATTTTTTAGTGTTCCATTTGAATTCTAATTGAAAAACGGGACCAGTTGGTGGTTTTGTCAAGGTAGTTCATCCTTTTGAGATTTGAGAAGATTCACATAGACATTTCAGTCTCCTCATAATCATCATTGTGTGATTCACAAGCTTAAGAACCGAATTCAGAACATATCATATAAAATACAAACCTGAAATTCGTCTTCAACTACTAAATCATCCCATAATGATTTATTAACTTAATCTTGATTGCTGGAGTTACGTGTACTCTTACAATAGTTACCAAAATCCAAAAGAGAACACAAGATCTATTAGCAAACACAGAGCGATACACGTTGACCGGGATCTCTTTATTTGAATATTTGACGGCCAAGTCATTTTTTAAAAACAAAAATCTTACCCACCTAACCATAAAACCATATTTTTTTTTTTTCTAAATAGGGAATTGCCGCCAAATAAAAGATTTGGTACACCTAATGTGACTAATCTTGGATAAGTCAGAGCTACTGCCTTTCGATATAGAAGGAGGTTTATTTTCTTTGTGAAGATCTTAAGAATTTTTAAATTATCTTAGTTCATTATAAATTTACGGTTAAAAATTATTTTAAATACTTTTATTTAAAAATAAATATAAATAGTGTCTGATAAAAACTGATTGCACGATGTATGATGAACGAACACGAGGATTCCACTCACAATGAGGATCAGGAGAAGATCGACCAGGCTACAGTGCTGCCTATCCACATCACCACCCAACATTGTAAATTCGTGGAAATTGTACCATGACTCAGTGTATGATGTGATTGTTGAATTTACAATCAAGTATTCAGCGAATACGAATTTACCATTCAATAATTTTGTTGTAAATTATGCAGTAGCGGAAGGAGGTCTAAGTTTTTATATAGAAATAGAGCGCAAAGTGTATAAAAAAATTTAATTTATTTATTGAGGTATTTAGTCGAACATTTGGTGATTTGTTGTTGCTCATATTACGTACATGTCAACAGATACCGACATATGTCAAAGCAATCTGACGAGTGATATCGAGAGATTTTGTTGAATGCTCTCGCCGCAACTTACTGAGATATGCTAGCAGACATCACATCAAATACTTGGTAGGCACAAAACGGATCCTTACCAAATATTTGAAAGGTCCTCGAAAAATCTTCACATGTATATTTCTTGAATCTCGAGTAATTCTGAGACTATTTCAATCACAATGTACATCCCCCATTGAAACCATGCACATATGCTACTAAAAATTTTCATAAATTTATAGCCCATGGTTATCATGTACTTTCCATGCATCGTTTTTCCACGGGAGGCCACCATGTTGTAACATTCAAAAGGGGCTTCTTAAGTTCTCAATCTCAATAGAAAGGTCCATAATTTAATCAAAGCTACTAGAAAGTTTAGAACTTTCAAATTAAAAAACCAAAGTGTTCAATAGACATTAACGATGAAGAAGGGTTAGTTATAGTAAAGAGACGAAGAATCCAAGTTTGGAGATAGAGAGCAAATGAGAGAAAAACTTCGGTAAGACGTGAATGAGAGAGGTAAAATCTTTTGTTTGGACATGAAATATGAAAACTTTTTTCACTTGTTAGCTTTGGGATATCGATTGGAGAGGATGAGGCAATGCAAGTCACAACCATGGCAATATCATGTCACTCAGATCATTGGTTTAAGAGCTCGTAAGCACATTTCGTAACAAAAACAATTATAGGGGTGAGTTTTACATATTTGACACCGATATGTTGTCGAATCTTGCCTCAACTAATAAACAGCCTTGTATAGTTTCAAATTTATCCACAAGGGATAAATTAAAAATGTTAGAAAAGAGAGATTAATAGAAAACTCAATGACGGTGTTCGACAAAAAAAAATTTAAAATTATAATTTACTTGTAACTATTGTCCCGTAGTTTAGATTTCAAAATTCAGATTTCATTAAACAATTTGCAATTTTCAAGTCAATTAATCCATCTATTTTATATAAACAATATTTTACTTTAAACTATTGAAAGAGAGATTCAAACTCGACAATGGACAATGTGGATGTCTCCACATATAATTTCAGTTAGTTAACAGTATATTCATCTTAAATTACTCAAACTCACTAGGAATGATTAGATGAACATCTTACGATTGTCAAAATAATGGATAATCAACTAAGCGAATATCTTCCAATGTTTCATTAAAATTTTATGTCATTCCAATAAAGTCTTTGCCAAATATCGATTATTTTTTTATATTTTTGTTAGAATTTGTGTATTTTAAAATCACATGTGTTTTTGATAACCAATACAATAGACGCCAGCTAGACAGTCAACTCTATCATCGAAGAAATAAGGAAATAAACAACGGTTTGACACCAAATATTTTGGGGTGTAAATAGATATAGAGAAGCAAAAAAACCATTAAAAAACAACAATTGCTCATGAAGGTTTCCATAGAAAAACGTCTTTTTTTGACATACAAATTAGAACTACAGATACTTGGGAGCATACTAATGGAATAACGAAATACAGAGAATTAACATAATTTGATCGTAGATCTTAGATTGTCACCTGATCATGAGTAAATTTGTTGAAGCATTTTTCAATGTCCTGAGACATATCCAAATAATTAGATACTTGAAAAAAAAAATTAATTATTTGTGTTATAACACGTGATTACCCGACTTTATTCCCTACATTTGATTAACAAAATTCTCAATTTGTTGATGTTGCAGACACAATGGAAAGTACATTGGAACTTTGTTGTAGGTATCAATTTAAATTTTGAATTGGACCAAAGCAAGATTTTTTTTTTTTTTTTTTTAATTTGAACCAAAAAAAAGGCAAAAAGCAAAAAGTAAAAAGATAAACAGATAAGGGGACATAGGGAGGTGTGCCGGCTGGCAAAAGCTTGGCTTGGCTGGAATTGGATGTCTGAAGCCTAGGGATCAATTAATTTGGGCCGCACAAATTCAATCCAACGGTCTCCATTAATTTATTTTTCTAACCCATCACATAAAACCAACAATTCTGATTTCTTTTATACACTAATTAGCAACCCAGATGATTTGATCTCTAAGTTCCGGACACTAAGGTCCGGAAGAATCCAATTCCGGCTTGGCTAATGGCTGGGTCAGCCAGCAGCTCTTCCACCACAATTTTGACTTTTTGACTCCCCTCGTCCTCCCTCCTTCAAATTTCAATTTCTTCTCCTACACCTGCCACACTCCCACTCCCACACCCTCTTTCCGAATCAGGGTTTCTGCTAGCAAAGACGGCGTCTTGGTGACCTCAGAAGGAAGTAGAAGCGACGGAAAAGGATATTTTCTGGCGGAGATCTGCTGCTTCGATCTCTAGGTGGAAACATTGAAATTTGAAAAGTGAAATGAGCGCCTCCAGGTTCATAAAGTGCGTGACGGTCGGCGACGGCGCCGTCGGCAAAACCTGCATGCTGATTTCCTACACCAGCAACACCTTTCCCACGGTCAGTCCCATTTTCGTAAAATTGCATGCTCGTATGCGTCTGTTCTTGCTTCTTAGTTCTTCCCCGGCAATTTCCCGAATTTTGTCGTATATGCTTATCTGCTAGCATAATCATACACAAAGCTCAAACATTGATTATATTTCACTAAAGTTCAAACCTTGATTTAGTTTGCTGAAGAACAACGTTAATTTTTCCGAAGATGATTCTAAGTATGCTTAATTGTTGTTAAATCTCTGATGCTCCACATTATGATGCATTGGTGTCTGTATTGTGTTTCATTAGCCGAAGAATTCGATTCTTTCGAAGTTGTTATCGTGCTATTTCGTGTAGGTGAACTTGAATTTTTGTATAATTGACTAAGAGTGTAGTTGTAATCGAAAAACAGGACTATGTACCGACTGTTTTCGACAATTTCAGTGCAAATGTTGTTGTCGATGGGAGTACTGTCAACCTGGCTCTATGGGATACGGCTGGTGATTTTACCTCTCACTCCCCTGTTACATATGCGATTTCGTTTCACTTTGTTTTTGTTTTTCCCTGTATTTTGGGAGGTTTAATAACCATTTTCTAACAGGGCAGGAGGATTACAATAGATTAAGACCATTGAGCTATCGAGGGGCAGACGTCTTTATCCTTGCTTTCTCTCTCATAAGCAAGGCCAGCTACGAAAACGTTGCAAAAAAGGTTCCAAATCTTCTTTACAATCCTGTTTACTTTCTTAGTATCTGTGTTTGCAATAATTTCAATACACAATGTTTGGTGTGTGTATGAGTTGTTTGATTTTGTTTTCCGTTTCAGTGGATTCCCGAACTGCGCCATTATGCACCTGGTGTTCCAATAATTCTGGTTGGAACAAAGCTTGGTAAGATCTTTTTCTCAACCCCCTTTGTAATGTATGTTTGTGCTGGTGTCTGATCTAATGCTTTAGTGTCCCGGTAATTTTTGGGACTATTGAGGTATAAACTTCCCATTTCTTCCATGTAGGATCCGAGTCACGGTTCAGTTACTTCTAAATTTCTTTGAGCCTGCATTGAATACTAGCTCTTAGTTTTGATATTATCTTCAATACCGCACTGTTTTAAGATTGATGTTTTGGTTACTTAGTCGTTTAGCAATTATCACTTTTATTCCTGTTATTGAGTCAACATTTCGTATCATTATCTGGATCGTTATTGTTATCACTTGTTATCACTTATTACTACAGAATTTTCTTACTCGTTTGATGAATGAGGTGCTCAATTTTATGATTTTCATTTGCAGATCTTCGGGATGATAAACAATTTTGTATAGACCATTCTGGTGCAGTTCCCATTACTACTGATCAGGTAAGGCTACTGCTTCACCCCTAAACCTAAATAATATCTTTCTAAGTTGGTCTACTGACCTTTGATTTTCTTTTTGGCCTAAAGGGAGAGGAAATGAAGAAACTCATTGGAGCGCCTGCATACATTGAGTGTAGCTCGAAAACACAACAGGTATGAATGCTTTTTTGTCTTCCCTCATGCCAAATTTGTCATATGTCTTCACCCCTCATTGTTGACATGATTCCTTGAAATTTTAATTGCAGAATGTGAAAGCTGTTTTTGATGTGGCCATTAAGGTGGTGCTTCAGCCACCGAAGCAAAAGAAGAAGAGAAAGGGACAGAGGGCTTGCTTCATATTGTGAAGTGACAAGTAGATTTATGAAATGATTTGCTGACTGCCGACCTTTCTTCACCGCTACCTCCTTTGTACTCGAAGTCCTTGCGGAAGCAGCAAACCGTGGTGTATGTATAGTATGTACTGACATTTTAGGGATTCATGTGATAGCTTTAGATGGTTTGTTTAAGACTTATGTTCGTGTATTTAAGTGACAGTTAGCTTTGCTAACACGCGTATTTCTCCGTCTTTCTCGTGTATTGCATCGAACTCTTTCTGGATAATGTCTGTATAACACAGTTCACAATTCAATACCATCTTATACAGAAGTTGCAAAAGAGAAAAGCAGACAATAGTGGTCTTTATTAGTACATCCCTCGAAAGTCGACGTCTTCGATATAAACTATACAGTTTGTAATCGAAAAAATTCATAGGAAGTTTATCATATAATGCCGTTGAATTAATCAATCGCTTGTCTCTTTTGTTGCTGTAGACTAACTAATTGTTTGTAGAGACTACCAGGTCTTCCAATCAGATGCTCGTGGCTTCCCATTTCGGCCACCCTACCATTTTGTAGCAGGGCGATACAGTTAGCATCACGAATAGTTGACAACCGGTGTGCTACCAAGATTGTTGTTCGGCCCTCCATTAGCTTATCAAGAGCCTCTTGGACCAGCTTCTCAGACTCCGTGTCCAATGCACTGGTTGCTTCGTCCAGAAGAAGAATCGACGGATCTTTCAGTATTGCTCTGGCAATTGCCACCCTCTGTTTCTGCCCTCCCGATAACTGCACTCCTTTCTCTCCCACTTGAGTTTTGTACCCTTCAGGCATTCGACTTATGAAACCGTGTGCATTCGCTGCTTTTGCCGCTGTCACTACCTCTACTTCCGATGCTTCCTCGTGCCCATACTTTATGTTCTCATAAATTGTTGTGGAGAACAATGCCGGCTCTTGTTGAACTAGACTTATTCTCTTCCTCAACGATTTCAAGTTCAAGCTTTTGATATCGTATCTATCAATTAGAACCGTACCAGAAACAGGGTCATAAAATCTCATTACCAGTGCAATCACTGTACTCTTCCCAGAACCACTTGGCCCGACTACTGCAAGGCTCTTTCCTGCTGAAACACGTAAATTCAAATGGTCGAAAATGGCGATATCCGGCCTTGCAGGGTACCAGAAACTCACATTCTTGAACTCTATATCTCCCTTGACATTAGCAACAACATTTGATCTGGGATCATTACGATGTATGGCCGTTTCTCGCTTTAGGATACTGAAAATTGGGCCGAGCACTTGCGATCCCTTCATAATTTCTGGCGTGAGAGCTAGGGTTTCTGCTATACTCAGTGACGTGACTATTAGGACCATAAAGGACTTGATGATGTCTCCGAAATTCGAGTCTTTATCCTTGATTAGTACTGATGCATACCAAAGGCCAAGCGCATAAGAACAGAACGCGAAAAACTGCGATAAACCGTAGCAGAAACCTGATATGTGGCCTCTTAGAACTGCTTGCTTGTTTGGCTTGTTTAGTTCCAAGGAAAACTGGAGTGATATCCGTTCTTCGCAACCAAATGCAGCAACAGTACGTATGTTGGCAATTGCTTCGCGTGCCACGGATGTTGCTTTTGAGTAGGCAAGGTTGTAGTCCCCTCCGAATCCCTTCAGAAACAGTTGCTGCGCATACAGATCAAGAAAACCAAACATATGTTGGATTCAGGATAAAAACAATTGAAACATAAACAATACTACAATATGCAGCTCTTAACAATGTCGTGGTTGTTTTTATTCTGACCTCAGTTATGGAAGCTCCGATAAGTAGAGGAAGGGAGGCACTCACGACAGCTGCAATACGCCAACTTAAGGTGAAGGCAATAGCGAAAGCAGTCACCGTGAGTGCAAGATTCTGCACGATTGTTGATAGACGGTCAGCTAGAGCGCTTCGCACTAATGTTGCATTTGCTGCTAAAGTTGAAGTCAGTGCTCCAGTGTTATTCTCATCCAAATCAAACCAACCAACTTCGTTTGAAAGGATAGCTGCAGTCGAAACAAGAATGAGTTCTCAGATTTGATTGATTTTGTAATGTGCATTACATGAGAAATGAAAACATGAATTGATCTTTGAGGTCGAGAAGAACCTTTGAACATTAATAAGCGTACGCGAGTTGTGAGCCGCTCCCCCATCAATGTATAAAAGTAGTGCTGCAGGAGATATATTGGGACAGTAAGAGCAGCCAAGCCAACAAATATGAGAGCTATCCTATCAACATCATGTTTGATTTGAGAGCCACTAGGACCGTAAAACGCTGTCAAGATGTGAGTTATTCCAAGGGCGAAAAGAGGAGCTTCCATGCCGGCCAGAACTGCACCAACTGACCCGAGAATCGCATAAGGCCACTCGGGCGCATTTAGTTTCACTAATTCCCACACTGATGCAGTAGGAGCAGAGCTGTTTTGATCAGTTGGCTTCTGCTGTTTTGTTGTGGTTGCCTTGTCCTCCTGCGGATAGTTACTCGTGGTATCGCGAAAGCTGGATTCTCTCGAAGAATGTCCAGATACTAAGCCAGAATCTTTAACATGTTCCAGTACCTGCAAGCTCACCAGATTTGCATACTCCCCTTTCTTGGACATCAAGTCTGAATGGTTGCCACTCTCAGAAACCTGACCGTTCTTCAAGACAATGATTGTGTCCACATCCCGGATAGTGGACAACCGATGAGCAACGATGACTGTAGTTCGATGCAACATGATTTTCTCTAGTGCCTGCTGAACGATAAGTTCTGATTCTGCATCAAGAGCGCTTGTGGCCTCATCTAAAAGTAGTATTTTTGGGTTTCGCAGCACTGCTCTTGCAATAGCTATTCGCTGCTTTTGCCCTCCGGAAAGCTGAGTTCCTCCTTCTCCTGCCTGAGTGTTGTAGCCATCAGGCAATCCTTCAATGAAAGAATGTGCATTTGCAGCTTTAGCAGCTTCCATGATCTGATCCATGTCTGCGTCTTCTTTACCGTACAAAATGTTGCCGGCTATAGTAGTCGCAAACAATGCCGGTTCTTGACTTACCAATCCCATCTGTTCTCGTAACCATTTCAGTTGGAGAGTTCCGAGTTCATGTCCATCCAACAGTATTTTACCTGACAAAAAGTGGTTTATGGTTTTGACCTCAAAACAAAAAACGAAATGGTTATTAAACAGACCCGAAATAATATATACCTGAAACGGGGTTGTAGAATCGCTGAATCATGGATATAACAGTGCTCTTTCCTGAACCACTAGGGCCAACAACTGCAAATGTCTTGCCAGCTCCAATCGAAAAGCTCAAATTCTCAAACACCATGTTTGGTCGTGATGAATAGGCGAAACCAACGTCACAGAAGTCAATCTGCCCAGATACTTTCGGCAACACTATTCCATTGTCCGATGCCTTAGAGGAATTGGAATCCGAATCAATCATCGTCATGATATTACCAGCAGCAGCTCTACCTTTCGCAATTGCAGCAAGGCTTGGAGCAGCTTGGCCGAGAGCACTACACAAGAAAAAGGTCTGCTTTTAATCACGAAACGGGAAATAGTAAATGCGCACATAATTTGGAGTGGACTTACAATCCACTGAAGATGACATTGAGGATAGTTGTGAATGCTTTCCCTCCGTTCGTGTCGTGATGCCTTACAAGTATGCCGGCGTACCACAGAAGCAATGCCCAAGCGCAAAACAACAGCCCGTAAGTAAACCCTACGCCAACTCCCTTCGCAACCCCGCTCTTCTTTCCCAGCTTGAGGGCCTTGTTCAGTGAGGTTGAGTATGCTTCAATGGCTCTGTCCTCTCCCCCGAATGAGTACACAGTACGAATCTGCGAAATAACCTGGTATATGCAAAATGTGAGACCAAAATAGGCTACATTAGCGGCAAGATTTGTAAGATAACGAGAACTGCCGAGAACAGTGTACCTCTTCAGCAACCTTGCCGGCTTCTGCATAAGCAGCCTCACCCTTTTCGGATAAGGTAGACATGATTATAGTATAAGCTCCACCTGCAATAGCTATGAACGGAACCACAGCCAAGGTCAGAAGCGTAAGCTGCCATACTGATGTAAACCCAATGACAAATCCAATAAGGAACTGCGAAAGGTAGCGCAATGCATGGCCGGTCTGCATTCAGAAGATACAAGGACCAATGTTAAATTACGTTACTCTAAGTACCATCTTCGAGAGATTTCACAACGGATTTGGTTGCGGATTACCTTGTCACCTATTGCATCTTGCACTAGAATTGCATCACTTGAAATGTGGAAAATAATGTTAGTGTCTCTGGCTTCAGTGTCGAAAAAATTTATGTCCTTGTTTAGAACTGACTGGAGATATTTCATTCGCAAACGCGCTGTCTGCCTCTCCCCCGTTCGTGTCCAGAATGCTACACCTGAAAATTAAAGCGTCAACAAGGATAGTCATACTTAATCAACTTGGCTACGCTCATGTCTGCTACTACTGATGTTCGTATAACTAATTCGAGAATTGAAGTTTACGAAACGTACCAATCCATGCTGATGCGAAGAGAACGAGTCCAAGATATACCAAGTACAAAGCATACTGCAAATGAAAGAAAAGGGTAACCTCACATACATATCTCGAAACTGAACATCATCGCACAAAAAGGATTGCAAAAACCTAGTCTGAAACGTTTGATCTTACCTCGGAAACCCGGGCAGACTGTTGCTGCGGATTCTTTGCCAGATGCCCTAACGAATCGATCATACGACCAAAAACAACAAAGAACACAGGAAGCACACCACCATGGATACACGCCCCAACACTTCCCAAAAACATTAACAAATAGTCCGCCTTATCAGCAGCAGCGAAAAGTCCGATGAGCGACACGCTGCGCTGCTTGCTCGGGTTCGTTTGTTTGTCCATTTTCGGAAGCGAGTTTCCGTCCGAAAACTTGTCGGAGGAAAGCTCTACTTCCTCCATTCTTGAATGCCAACAGACAAAGTGAAGTTTGCAGATAGCAAAAAGGGAGAGAAGTGTTTATTTCCCGCCAATTAATGCAGAAGCTGTATAACTAGTTGGCGTCTCAACAAACAAATCGGCTCTCTAACTGCATTTTCTCGGAAACTTTATTGCCGTGTTTGTAGCTTTTAATTTGAGTCGTTGGATAAAGAAAGCAACTAATTCAATAAATAAAAAGATTTAGTTACTTGGGGTCCAAGTTAAGGACAAAAGGAAGGAAAAGTATAAATTTAAATCATAGTAGAGTGGTGGTTGCACTTGAATTCTCATGGATTTGAGCAGCAGGAGTCGGATATGAATCACATCATCTTTCTACATTAATATGTGGAACTCGTTTATATAACGATGACATTCACAACTCCACATATTTAGTTTGAGAATTTTTTATTTTTAGTTTTTAAGCAAGTTATCACTTCTCAAATTTTAGATTCTGGATTTCGGATACTCGTTTGGGTTTAGGACTCTTTAAAAAATGAAGTCAAAATCAACTTAAAAAATAGTTGGGGTGTGCTATTCACACGCAATTTTTTACTTCTCACACCTCCCTTTTTAATTTATGTCATTTCATTTTCTTCAATTTATCCGAACCGACGGTCGAAAATTAAAAAGGTGTGAAAAAGGTAAAAAATGATGTGTGTATATCATACCCTAACATAGTTTATTTCTTAAAAACATCAAAAGTGTTTTTTAGAGTTGATGAAGTCAAAACCACACATTTCTCTCTCGTCTCTCTTTCTTTTTCATACTCTCACTTTCGCCCTTTTAGAAGTTCCCACTCCACCAAGGAGTTGTTGTAGCTGAGTTTTTGTCCCTCTTATTTCTTTTTCATACTCTTTCTCTCTCCCCACTTTCTCCCTTTTAGAAGTTCCCACTCCACCAAGGAGTTGTTGTAGCTGATATTTTTTTTTTCTCTTTAAAAACAATTAGAAATCTCATACAACAATAAAGCCTTTTATCATTATGTGAGGTTGGCTGTATGAATCCTAGAACACGATTACGCTCGGTTCTGTGTCACGTCTTTCATTATAACCAAGTATTCCAAGTATTTTCTTAGAGTCTCTTCCAAAGTCTTCATTGGTCTTCATCTACCCCTTCGGCCCATAATCTCTGTCTCGTAATCGCATCTTCTAACCGGAGCGTCAGTAGGCTTTCGTTTCACATGTCCAAATCACCGTAACCGATTTTCTCTCATCTTTCCTTCAATTTCGGCTACTTCTACTTTACCTTGAATATCCTCATTTCTAATATTATCCTTTCTTGTGTGTCCACACATCCAACAAAGTATTTTTATCTCCACTACACTCATTTTATGTATGTGTTGATGCTTCATTGCCCAACATTCCATGCCATAAAGCATTGCTAGCCTTATTGTCATCCTATAAAATTTTCCATTGAGCTTTAGTAATATATGACGGTCGGACAACACACCCGATGCACTCTTCCACTTCATTCATCCAACTTGTATTCTATAGTTGAGGTCTTCATCCAACTCTCCCTTCTTTTGCAAGATAGATCCTAGGTAGCAAAAGCAATCGCTCTTTGGTATTTCTTGATCTCTAATCCTCACCCCTAACTCATTTGAACCTCTGTTCGCACTAAACTTGCACTCCATATACTCTATCTTTGACCTACTTAGGCGAAGACCTTTAGATTCTAACACTTCATATACTCTGTCTGTCAATTATAAATCTCATACCAACAAAATTTAAGTTTAAAAAAAAAAAAAAATATTTAAGCGAGACTCTTAAGAAATGTTTTGAGGAATAATAAAAAGAGAGTTTTAATGAAAATGACTTAGACCAAGACTATTTTAATAAAAAACCACCCAATAGTTTTCTTTAACCAAAAGCACCTCAAAACTAATCATAAGAACATAGGCCTCCAATTCTACATGGGCTGGATACATAGCCCAACAGGAACAAAAATAAGTTTCCAAAATTATCCCTACATAAAGAAAACTTAGACTTTAGTGCAGGTTTTTTAAAGAGTGGGATCCCCATTTTAGCCACAAAATGGGGATGATGCACTCAACCATCGATGAGATCGTGCGGCTGGATTTAACGTGCCCATATTTTTTTCCTTTCAACGGGAGAAAGAATGGCTAAATAACAAGAGAGATTTTTCAATATGACCGGAACACAAGGTGGTATGCCACGTGTCATTATACAAATGGTGGGATATGTGTGTTAAAAAGTTAATAACTTAAAAAATACAATTTTTCACCACTTATATAAAAACACGTGGTATACCATCCGTGTTCCGGTCACAATGAAAAATTTCTGGAAGAACAAGGAGGCGCAGGTTTGAAACCTTTCATTTTTTGGGTTTTTCTTCCTTCATTCTTGGTGCATATATCAGTCTTTGAATTTCCTTGTCCAGATTAGATTCAGATTTGGAGAATAACCATACTTTGAAAAGAAAAAAAATCCCAAATTATTGAATCCAATCTTCAAAACTAGAATTAAAAAGAAACGAACAGGAAAAGAGCTGTGCAATTGAATCAAAGAGGAGAACATTCAAACTGAATCCATTTTCCATGGAACTGGAAAAAACCAAAAAGCCCAATTCCTTGCATCCATTTCTTCATAAAACTAGAAAGGAAAATAAATCTCTACCGTTAATAAACCAGCACCTAACTACCATCCACCTTCTTCAATTACAAAATTTGGAAAAGAAAAAAAAAATAGAAAAAGCAGATGAGAAAGAGAGATAAAAGTGACTTCAACATGGCTTTCAACATTCATTTTTTATGTGTCATCATCCATTGCTTTGAACCTTTCATTTCTAAGAAAGTTGTCAGTGAATATTGGAAGTTAATTTAATTAATTAACACTATTATTAATTTGAAGTGTAAACATAAAAACAACTACTAATCGTTTTGGAATCCGCAAATGAAACTCGTCGCGTGCTACAAATTTTGAAATGGTAGGAATAACTTGGAATGTAATTTTGCGATAGTTTTAGAAATAGTCTGCGTTATTTTGATTCAATTTCAAAAATAGTATTGGTTGCTTTATTGTATTTTTAAAAATAGTGTTTACTTTCTTCCCTTCTAGAAATAGTGTGTGTTATATTTTGTTGTATTTCTAAGAATAGTGTAAGTTATTTTAGTTCAGTTTCAGAAACAGTGTGGGTTATTTTGGTTCAGTTTCAGAAATAGTGTTGGTTATTTTTTCTAGTTCCAAAAATAGTATGGGTTATTTTGGTTTAGTTTCATAAATAGTATGGGTTATTTTGGTTATGTTTCATAAATAGTGTGGATTATTTTGCTGTAGTTTCAAAAATAATGTGAGTTATTTTGCAGTAGTTCGAGAAATATTGTGAGTCATATTGGTTCAATTTTAGAAATAGTGTGAGTTATTTTGTTCCAAACCAGAAATACTGTGAGTTATTTTGGTTTTGTTCCATAAATAGTGTGGATTATTTTGTTGTCGTTTCATAAATAATATAGGTTATTTGCAGTAGTTCCAAAAATAGTGTAAGTTATTTTAGTTTTATTTTGAGAAGTTCCATAAATAATACAAGATTACCTCCATCAAATCACAAACAAGAATATGTAATCACACTTTTCGACTCATGTTCAACAAGTACTTTATAAATATTCAATTTTATTTGTTTTTATTTTTTAATTTTGTATTGGAGCAAAGACATGAGAACCCCATTTGAAATGGTGACTTCTCTCCGTGAGAACCGACTTGGGATGTTCCGGTCTAAATTTATCATTGAGTAGGTTTGTGTTGGGCTCTTGCTTTTAGCCCCGTTTTTCAACCAAAAAAAATGGTGACTTCTCTCTTGCTCTCTCTCTCTCAACCTCTGTGTGCCAAAATCTAAGTTAAATGCTTAATTAAATTCTACACTTTTATTCAGTTTGACAAGCTTCTAAATTCTACTACTAATTGTACATTTTAAAATGAGAATTGCTAAACAGACTCGTCATCCAAGTAAGTCTCATGGAAATCATTATACACGTCCTCTATCTTAATAATATAAGCAAAACAAGCCCACCACAAAACAAATAAATAAAGGTATAGTAAAATAAGTGTAGTAATTATGCTTCCTTCACCTTCCCAACCATTTTTTTCCCTTTTTTTTAACATCTCTGGCTGCAAGCCATATCACCCCTACACTGCATCACCATTAAAATCAGCATGAACAACCAAAATTAAACCTTGGATCCCAAAACTTGAAATTAAACTAGCAGGAATCACACCCAAATGTAATTTTGAAAAGTTAGAACCCACCATGAAATCACACTTAGAATAATCCCAGTTTAATTCATGGGTGTGATTCACCGCCGTACCACACCACCGCCTCATCGCATCAGCATTAAAATTACCGTCACACCCAAAACTTGGATCCCACCATGCTCTCATGCTTCGTCTTTGTCGTCTTCTCTTCGTCTTCGATTTACCATCATCTCTCAAACCGAAGGCGGTCTAGTTTTCTTTGACAAGACTAAACTAATAGAACCCAAAAAGGTTAGGGGCAAAACCGAGTAATTAGTATGTTATTATAGTTGGGCTATTTTAATTGGACTTGTTTAATATTGGGCTTTGTACTAACTATTAAATAAAATTATTACATGACTTTTGATTAAAACTCAAAATTTTCATACTATTTTCATTAATTTTTCTTAATAAAAATTATATAGGATATCAAATAGGTCATAATTGTCGCCCCTAAAAATATCCAACAAAAAGTGAATATAAAAGAAGCCGAAGGGGCCGTAAATATAGATAGTTTTGGGCCTTCAGTAACTAATTCCAACCTATAAACAAAGCCTGCTACAGCCCAAATTTTTATAAATGAATAAAGATATTTAGGGTTTAAGATTTAGCAGACGGTGGGTTTTGGGTGTTCAGGTTCAGCTTGATTCCGCTTACAAGTTGGGAATTAGGGTTTTATCACGGAATTTCCATCGCCGACTCCCCTCACGACTATTGCTTGTATGTTTTTTTTCTTAATTTTAAGTTCAATTTCTTCTTTCACTGTTTAATTTTAATGCTTCGGTGTTTTCAGTAGCTGCTTCTAGTTTGATTTGTTGAATTCGCTGTTGGGTTTGTATTAATATGAATTAAGATGCCAATTTGATTTTTTTTGGACAAAATTAAGTTGCCCGGTAACTGTTTGATGAAATGCTCAACTGAACTAGTGGCATATTTTGGGTTTGACTTTGCTAATGGTTAAAGCTCTAACTGCAGGTGCAACAACGATATCTAACGGTGCGTCCGAGAAGCATTTCATGGCATATTCCCAAGGTCGCAATTTCTTGTTCTGCGACTTGTGTGGGAGTATGCTAAATTTGAATTCAACTAAGTTTGCTCAATGCCCTTTGTGCAAGTTAAAGCGAAATGTGAAAGGTACAGCAAACTTAAGCTTTCGGCCATTCGTGTTAACTTTTGCATCTTTAATCGGTTTTCTAGTTTCAAAATTTGTTTCAGATGAATCCATGCTGTATTTTAGTTTTATATGCTCGATTTCGAAAAGAGCTTACATTTGGAAGTGTTTCATATTCTAACTGCTATAGAATTTAAATCATGCCATGTCTCGGGCTTTATATTTTTCTGTGACATAGATACGTAATATTTTTGTAGGTTCATAAATCCCTATAAATGTAACTTAATATTTCCTTTACTTAGTTTTGTAAATTCCTAATGTGATTTCGACTGTCTTCAGAGATATCCGGAAGAGAAATATCTTACAAAGTCACTGCTGAGGTATGCTCAAAACTATCTTGCTGATGCCTGTCATATATATGTAGATTGTAGGCTATTTATATAGATTCTATGTGTGGATAATCATTCCAGTTTTCGTCTGTGTGTGCTTCTGTGTACACTAAAACATGAACTGTGATGTTGTCGGACAGTTTTTTCTTTTCTCTCATATTTTCTCATGCCCATCTCACACATTTAGGAATGTGGAAGGGCTTAGCTTCACTTAGATATGAAAATAGACGCAAGCAGTGAGTTTAGTTAAAGATTACACTCAAATGTTGGATCTGATTGTTGTATCTGAACTGATATCAATAACATCGAACTTTATATCTCTTTCGGCATCACAGCACCAAGTTATTACTCTATGTGTGTTCTTGTTGCAGGATATTAGAAGAGATCTAGGCATATCAATAATTCCTGAAGAGAAGGTGCAATTGCAAAAGGTAGATGTGCTTTTTGGTTTTCAAATAAAGCTGTGGTTTTTGTTTGGGAATGTGCTTTCAATCTCCCATTTTTCTTATGCTACTTTTTTCTCGTAAACAGACAGATGCTAAAGCATGTGAAAAATGCGGCCACAACGAGCATACATATTACTCCCGACAGGTATGCTAGAATCGCTCAATCATCTAAGTATCTGTTCTTCTTCTTTTTGGAGTCATCTAATTATCTTTTATGTTGCCTTGTCTTCTTTCATTAATACGTATCCAGATGAGATCGGCAGATGAAGGGGCAACTACTTTCTATGTGTGCACCAATTGCCAGCACCAGTTTACTGAGAATTGATGCGTTGGAGGTTGTAAGAGATTATGGGATCACAGTGTGTGCCTTGATAGTTGACATGTTCCTAACAAATCTAAGATTTATGCCTTGTATTGAGTGTATATTTAAGATTTATCAACTGTGCGATCAAAGTTTTGTCATACCGAACCAGATTTGTCAGCTATAAGATTTATGCCTTGTATTGGCTGTTATGTTGTAGGCATTGTTTAAAATTTCTTCGATACGATTAGTATTTCCAGAGAAATTCAAAAATCAAACAAAGATATAGAAATGGAGAGTGAAGTCTAAACATTACCTCATATCGGAGAAAATTATAAGTTTAGGCTAAAATCAACATATGTCATTGGTATTTCCGGACACATCTATTAAATATTGGAGAAATTCTTATATTTCATTCAAACCAATATTTGACAATCCCTAAAGTTTTATTTAAATTTCCATCATGTCCACCGAAAGTAACCAATATCGATATCGATATTCCATATGTTCGTTGATATTTTCACAAATTTGCATATCGATACTTGCACAAATACTGATATTTAAACACTGGTTATAGATAGAGTCAGAAATCTTTATATAGTTCTCTTTAGCATCAAATGTGAATGCAAATTACAAATGGTCCAATATCCTAGTAGGTAGGATATTGCTTTCTACCCATGCATCTCTGGTTCGAAACTTTTCCTCCTCAAATTATTGTAATAGATCCGAACCCTTCCCCTACCCGTTAATAATAGCAATTTCGAAAAAAAAAATTAAAAAAAAAAAAAAAAAAACAAAGAGAGTGAATGCAAATTCGTTACCTTATGTGGTTTTGCTTCCGCTGATTTTTTTTTTTTTTTAAACAAACGATATTACCTGCATTAAGGGGTTGGGGAAGTAGATTAAGCCTCATAATAGACTAGTAATAATGTAGTTCAAATTCTTCTTTGGGAATAATCAAAATAAATATAACTTGTTTGGATATGAGAATAGATTAAGCCAGGTGGTGGAAGTTTTGTTATCCCCAGTACTCCACATGTATGTGCTGTAAGAGTTTTTGTAACGATCGGAATCAAATCTCAAGTGGATCAAAACTACATATCGATGATATATTATTCAAATATTGATTGATCTAACATTTAAAGATTGACAACATAGAAAATAGATGTCGTACTCAAAAACTAATCATTTTGTTAGATTAGATTTTATTATTTTAGTTTATGGTTTTCGGCAAAGATTGGTATGGTTTCCGTTTGATAATTTTGGTTACGATGAAGTAAACGAAGAGAAGGAAAAATTGGTTGGTTTTGGGGCGTATGTGGCATGTGACGGATTTGGTTGCTGCTACTAAGATTTGCTATTGACCACCACAATTATTAATGGAGCGCTTGAATTGGTGACCACTCGAGTGATATTGAGTATCTAGTTATAAATTGATCGTTTGTCACAATCTGATGTTTGACTGTTGGTTGTTGGAATTGCTTGTTTGCTCGCTCGCTTGAATTGCTTGCTCGCTTGAATCGCTCGCTCACTTGAATAACTCACCTTCCTTGTCTTGTTCGTCTAACAGAGCGTATCTTGTCGCGTCCGCCTATTAGAGCTTGTATCCACATCTAATTGTTGGAAAACACATGTCCTATACCACCACAGAGTTTGATGAAGGTGTTGGAAATTAGTTTTATTATTATTTATGGTTTTCTTGTGGGCCAAAATTATTATAATTTCTTGCTCGTTAAGTATTAGGATTTACTTTAGTTTTCTATATATATATATATATATATATATATATATATATATATAGAAGTTTTGTACTCGTTTATTGTCAAAAAGTTAGTCACAATATAGTGTTATAGGTTATTTAGTCATCTCGACGAATTTGTAATGCTCTCTTTCATTTCAATTAACAAAGTACTATTTGTATTTCGTTTGTCGTATATTTTGATTTTCAACTCATATCTGTAATTAGAACCTGAAAAACGATCATTTGACTGATTTCCCAACCTAAAAACTTGAAACATCCTTAGGGCATTCTTCTAGGTCATAAAACCTTCATATCATTATTACTTGGTGACCAACAAAAGGAAAAACAAATTTGAAAAGAAAAAAGAAAAACATCATTGGGTAATTTTTTATAGGTTATTTAGCTGTCTCGACGAATTTGTAATGCTCTCTTTCACTTCAATTAACAAAGTACTATTCGTATTTTGTTTGTCATATACTCTGATTTTCAACTCATTTCCATAATTAGAACCCGAAAAACAATCATTTTGACTAATTTCCCATCCAAAAAACTTGAAACATCCTTAGGGCATTCTTCCAAGTCATAAAACCTTCTTATCATTATTACTTGGTGACCAACAAAAGGAAAAACAGATTTGAAAAGAAAAAAGAAAAACATCCTTGGGTAATTTTTTGTGCACCCCATTCAAAAATACAGGTGGTGAGATCACAAATTTCCTCAAGGAGAAAGGAGGAGAGGATTACATGATAAATTCATTATCACGAATTAACCCTCTCACAAGCCTTTATTTACACAAATGACACCTACAAACCAAACCTTGATCACCAATTACGAACACAACAGCACCAACCACCTCAGCCGTTCACCGGAGACGTAGAAGACGGCAGAGGTTGTCGGTTGCTCCAGCGTCAACCCCCGCTGCAGCTTCAGCGTTGCAACCAAGCCTTGGCTGCAGAGAAAACCTCGGCAGAGGCAAGCTACTCGGAGGCGGCGAGAGAGTGAAAATGGAACCTGAAAACTTCTCCATATCCACACCACGACCGCGGCGGCCACCGAGACTCTTACCAATGGATGATGATAAAACCCTAGTAACATCTTTGGGAAGATCATTCGGATCGGGCCCTAAAGGGCTGGTGGAAGCGATGACCGAACACTCGGTTATCGCTTTGAAGTCATGCTTATTAACTTCTTCTTTCTTGGAGGGCTTAGACGATTTCGGCTTTTTCGGCGTGAGAGATTGGCTTCTGGTGATCATGTTGTTGGTCTTCCTGGTGGCGGGAGGATGGGAGGCGCCGCGAGTACGCAACGGAAGAGACGGCAGAGACTGGTGGTGGAAAGGTGGTCTGTTGGGAACCGGTAGAGGAAGGAGAGGCGGGTGTTGGTGCTGCTGCCTTTGCGCTTGTTGCAGATATTGGTAGCGGTGGTGGTTGAACACAGAAAGAGAAGGTGGAGGAGCTTGGAGGAGACCTCCATGGATGTTGTAATTTATGGGAGCAAGATTTTCAGAGCTTCTTCTCATCATTTCCATCTGCTTGCAGGCACAGATTGATTGTTCTACAACAACAGTTTCCAGTTTCCACGGCCAAAAATTGCAGCTCTTCTGAAGTGTAATATATCACAAAATTAAAAATATATGCCACCGTGAAAATCTTGGATTAATATGCAAGATTTTCTGTAGAAATTTGGTGACAAAAAAGAAAGAAAACGTTTGAGAAAAATTTAAAGTAAATCTGAACCAAAAAAGGATTTCGATCACGAGAAATCAAGGAACCAAAATCAAAATGTTTCTCTAGATCAATACTTTTTAGTTGAACTCGCGTCGAGTTGAAACAAACTGATCAAATATAAGAATTTTAGGCCGTCGAGAGACGATGAAAATTTCAAATTAAATTCGAGATAGGAATTTTAAGCTTAACATAGAAGTTAGAATTAGAGATCTCAAAGTACTTTGCTTTACCTCGAGGAATCTTGAATTAGCTTTGTACCTCTACCTCCTTTTTATAGAGTGATGCTCCCCAACGAGAAATTTTTTATTGTAATCAGAATATGGGTGATACATTACGTGTTTTTATATTTTTATATAAATAGTGAGAAATTTTATTTTTTAAGTTATTAACTTTTTAACACATATATTCCACCATTTGTATAATGACACGTAATATACAATCCTGTGTTCCGGTCACACTAAAATATCTCTCCTCCCCAATGGCTACATTATTCCTTTTTGGGTCAATCTCAGTTTACTACCTTAAAGTTTCTTAATTTTCAACCTTTGATACATGAAGTTTTTTTCGTCCCAGTTTGGTACTTAAAGTCATAATTCTGGGATACTTTCATACATCCGTTAAGTTTTCCATCAGAACCTTCGTTAACTGATGAAGTGGCGCCTACGTGGATAATGACTAAACGTCACGTGTCAATATGAGTCCACGTAAATTTAAAAAAAAATATTTAAATTAAAATTTAAAAAAAAACTTTTCTGAGCATCCTGCCTCAACCTTCCCAACCCTTCCCTCATTCTCCCTCCCTTCTCTCCTTTGCACCCACCCAACCTCTATACGGTACCTACCCCCACCCTCTTCACCTCCCCTCCCTTCTCTTTCCTCCACCATCTTCACCCAATTCCTCCCATCAGATCGTCACCGTATTCGAAACCCCTAAACCCGTCACCATCACCATGGGCTTCAAGATTAAGACCGTTCAGCGTCGAGGCCTGCGTCGTACCCATATAGGTGGAAGAGGAGCAAGGTAGACGGTGGGTGTGCGGGGAGGGTGGGTGCAAAGGAGAGAATGGAGGGAGAAAGAGGGGAGAAGGTCTGAGGGAAGTAGGACGCCTAGAAAAGAAAGAAAAAACTTTAATTTTTTTTAATTTTTTAATATTCACATGGGTCCACATTGACACGTAGCGCTCAATTATTGTTCACGTAAGTGCCACGTTATCAATTAACAGAGGTCCTGACAGAAAACTTAACGGATAAATGAAAATGTTCCAAAATTATGACTTTAGGTATCAAACTGGGACCAAAAAAAAAATTATGTACCAAAAGTTGAAAACCAAGAAAATTCAAGATAGTAAACTGAGATTAATCCTTCATTTTTTTTATTTTGTATTATAACGTTTTATACGTGTTATAAAATATTTAAAGATTTGTATCTTATTAGATTTCTAGTATTTGACAGACAGCCGTTGCGGTCGGCTACAAGTTGGTCCAAGACCGGGGGCACTGTTCTGTTGGGCGGCAACCGCCAGTTCGTCTTCCACCGTTGGATCCCGCCTATGGAAAGGGCCGTTGGGGAAACTCTGGCCGTTGATAAGTCTGGGTTCCTCGTAATTGGTTGGGCGATAGGGACTCGTTGAATCCTAGCCACGCACGTCTTTAACTAGGGGTGTCCCAGCATTGTTTTAAAATCATCCCTCTGACCTCAAGTGCAGGGTAGGGAAGGAAGAAGTGGTGGCAGTTTTTTTATATTCTTCTATTTGTTATTATCTTTTTTCCTCCACATAGTGCGATTATTATTTTAAAATGTAGCGTTTTTCACACACTTTTTGTACCTTACATATATTCTTGTTAATTTTTTCATAGATCTTGTTTAATTTCATTCGATCCCGATCAATTGAAAATCGAGAGTAATGTGTAAAAATTAGGTGTGTCAATAACATCATCTTATTCTAATTCAAATACAACTCTTCTTCATTAGGGCAATACACCACTTGAAACTTTCTATTTTGAATATTTTCATATCGTCCTTGAGACGTTCATTCTGATCCTACAGTCTTGTACAATGATGTGTATCGTTGCTTTTTTGGGTGATCTTTTAAAGTTTAATTTTGCTAAAAATTAACTAAATTTAAAATTGTTTAATTATATAATAATCGCCAATTATGTAAACACTAATTTTTTGAATAATATTGACTTAATATCAAACGATTTTAAATTTGATTAATTTTTTCACAAATCTTACCTTCAAAATATATAAATATAAAATACACAAGTGTAATGATTGTTAAAAGTTGCAAAATGAGAATGATAAGAAACAAAAAATGATTATGTTAGGGAGAACAAATTTTATGGAGTAACGCTATAGAAACTAAATTTATAAATAAAATTTGTACACCAAATAATGTATCATCAATATGAAGTAAACACATTAATCGATATTTAATTAATAATTCAATTATTAACAACCACATTATTTGGTTTATACAACTTGATTTAAAAATTTTGTACCTCTAACATTATGCGGAGAGGTAAAAAAAAAAAAAAAAAAGTTGGTAGCCTCCTGTTGCCCTTTTTTTATTTTTATTTTTTTGTGGGGGAAATGATTGGCCATGTTTACAATATATAAGACTTGGCACGTATCGATATTTTGTATTTTTGTTGACATCTGGAACATAAGAAGATAGAGATGAATTTTGGGACAAGATTCTCTTCTGATCCTCTTTGTAGGGATCCAGTAATTAATTAATTGTGTTCATTCATTGTATGTCGTGCGGTTAGTTTTCATTAAGTACTATTTATCTTCAATTTTAAATTAAAAATTTTAAATAATTTCTAGCAGCACGATGTACGATGAATGAATACGATTGATTGATTCTCTGAATCCACACAAAAGGATTCGAAGAAGATGTTATTCCATGAATTTGGTTGCATTCCATCGTCGCGCGTGTTCATGCACTATACACGTGGCCTCATTTCAGCAACTGCTGTGCTGACAATGAAAATCTTCCATAATTTCAATGACCAGGGAGGGAGATCAAGATCTTCCAAAATTCAATGAACAAAGTGAGAGATCCTAATTTTCCACATTTTCAACGTTCCATGTTGAATTGCATCCTCCAGCCTACGTATACCGGAGAGAAGAATGGTAGAGGTTCAATCATTTTTAACACGTAGCTCTTCTTATATATTATTGAATCTGATTATAAAAATTACAGTGGATATGCTTAGTAAGTTAGCTTGTGATTCTCTGTTTTCTCTCTTTAGCTTGGTGGCTTCTTGTAAATCTGAAATGCATGGTGGCAAATTTAGGGTTCAGCATACTTATAGGGAAGGGAACTATGTTGCAGATAAATTCGCAGAAATTGGTCCTTCTTTGGAGTATGGTTGTCATTGTTCAGGAAGAACTATAAGAGGCTGCTAGACCCAGATTTGTCTGGTTGTTTATGTTTTTTGTATTGTACCAAAAAAAATCTAACACGTAGCGCTAGTTTCACTCAATGTAACAGCTAAGATAGTTGGATACTCTTACCAAAATATCTGTCATGCATACATATATACATGCATGCATGCATGCATGCATATTATTGTCGTGTTTATTTGTCCTATTTGGGATAAGTACATGTTTAGGGCTTAAAGGGCAGACGAAGCCAGATTCAATAATCCTCAGCACCGAAAGTTAATTAGGGTTGGTACATCAGTTGACTCGAATGTTAATTTAATTTCCAAATTGAGCGCCATCCAAGGCCATATGTTCAGTTCGTGACTCGATATTGTGTGCCCAAAATTAGTCATGCATGCAGTTTCTATTTACGAGAGTTTCTTTCAAAATAAGATATGATGACTTGTAACGTCCAGGTTGTCGACTAGCTATACATAGATTGCTAGGCTAGCTAGATGAATGATTTCGCCACAAAGTCCATCACACACCTTTGTTAAAGTTAGGCTCATCGGTTCAAATTAATCGAAGAAGATCAACGATGAAAAAATTTAACAAGAATGTGTGTAGGATAAAAATAATGTATGAATAGCATTGTCCTAATACTAATAACAGTACTGTCGACGTTGGCCCCTTGAGTGGGGAAAAGAATGAGTGGATCCTCTTCCTTAAGAGAACAGCTTTTATCATACATGTTTGCCCTACCTTTACTATCATTGTCCTATTTTGAAACGAAAAATAAATGTCAGTGTGTAGAAAGTAAAAAATAATAATTAAAAATCACTTCGCATGAATATTTCCACCTGCACTCTAATTATTCTCCGCCTTACTATATTTATATAGTGGTCAATTACTTGAGAGTTAAATTCGTAACTTAATGCTATGTTGATGCAGTGTATTTTGTTATAGGATTTGACCAAACATCTAACGGCATGAGTTGAAACTACAATCATGCAATACCTGTACGTTCTTTGTACTTGAACCGCATTTATTAATCCGGAGTGATTGTAACGTCTTGAAGATAAAAACACAGACTAACGAGCCATGAAATCTTAATACAAATCATACAATACTTATATTATATAAACATGCATTTATATAGTCGTTTCGGTCAAGAGTACGTGCTAATTAATATTGACTAAGATCGAAATATAATTGAATGAAATAAAGAAAAAAAAGGGGATAGAGATATTCTTTCTCGCTTCTACATACAGCAAACTCACCAACTTTAGAAAGCAAATTTTGGTGCCTTCTCGATCACCCACCCTATCCCCATCCCATTATACCACATGCCAAGGTCTGAAGCTAATGGCAATTGTGGGAAGTGAATTTTAATGGTAATTAACAATGCTATAAGCCCATAACTAATTAAATTGGATCATAGATAGTAAATTCGCATATAATATTCGTATTGTTTATGTACGTACGCATGTACTTTTCAAAAATACTTCTGTTTTCCGTACACATTTTAATGATCCGTTAAATTCCATTTTTTTTATAATTCCAAAGTATACATTATGCACATACGTACACATTTATTATGTTTAATACACATTATTTTGATGCATTTTTTAATAAACATACAATATTCACGTATTTTCACATATTGTCGAATAAATAAAAATATACCTTTTACATAAATAGTGGCCGAATTTTTCAAAAATATTTTCTTAGTAAAGTTGCTGAATAATACCCGTACATATTTTTTCACATACATATCCATCATGTATTTTACAAAACTACAAATTGAATACGTATATACGTTTACAACGATCCACATACATGATATATGTAAATAATATGAAACGTGTCACATTAGTCCACATATGTGTGTGTGCGCGCGCGCGTGTGTATTATATTGGCCAGTGACGTGA